AACCCTCGAAGAAAAAAGTAACAAAATTGATTTTGACTAGGGTCGCCCCCAGTCCAAATTTGAAAATGTATTTCCTACTTGGTTCTTTGCTCAAAAAAATTTCAAGATCTTTTATTTGTATTTGCTTTAAGCACTAGAATATTTATGCAAAGTTTCAATCCATTTGAATAAACCCTCGAAGAAAAAAGTGACAAAATTGAGTTTGACTAGGGTCGCCCCCAGTCCAAAATTGAACATGTATTTCCTTCTTGGTTCTTTGCTCAAAAAAATTTTTGGATGTTTTATTTGTATTTGTTTTAGGCACTAAAATATTTATGAAAAGTTTCAATCCATTTGTATAAACCCTCGAAGTAAAAAGTGACAAAATTGATTTTGACTAGGGTCGCCCCTAGTTCAAAATTGAAAATGTATTTCCTTCTTGGTTCTTTGCTCAAAAAAATTTCAAGATCTTTTATTTGTATTTGCTTTAAGCACAAAAATATTTATGCAAAGTTTCAATCCATTTGAATAAACCCTCGAAGAAAAAAGTGACAAAATTGATTTTGACTAGGGTCGTCCCTAGTCCAAAATTGAAAATGTATTTCCTTCTTGGTTCTTTGCTCAAAAAAATTTTAAGATGCTTTATTTGTATTTGTTTTAGGCACTAAAATATTTATGAAAAGTTTCAATCCATTTGGATAAACCCTCGAAGAAAAAAGTGACAAAATTGATTTTGACTAGGGTTGCCCCTAGTCCGAAATTGAAAATGTATTTCCTACTTGGTTCTTTGCTCAAAAACATTTAAGGATGTTTTTTTTTTTGTATACGTTTTAAGCACTAGAATATTTATGCAAAGTTTCAATCCATTTGTATAAACCCTCGAAAAAAAAAGTGACAAAATTGATTTTGACTTGGGTCGCCCCTAGTGTACTTTGGTCAAAAAAATTTTTTGTATTTTTTTTTTGAATTGACATAATTCTGACATAAATCACATTCCAATATTACTTTTTGTAATGCATAGCTTAAAAAAAATCGAAATCTAAAATGTCGACTGCCCCATCTGAATTTTGTTCATATTCTTCACTGTGGAAACCAAAAAACAAATTCTTTATCTTAAAACACTTGACAAAATAGCGACATAATTCAGGATTAATTACTTTTTAATAATGTTTTAACATTTACGAGAAAATGTGGTTCAAATAAGTGTGAAGTACAGGGGCGTAGCCAGGGGGGGGCCATAGGGGGCCCGGGCCCCCCCCTACGAAAATCTGATAATTGTTTTATTAAGTATTTATAGAGAGTTAATGTAGAGGAAGTGATGAAAGAAATGTCAAAATCAGCACGAAAAATTAAATTAAATGTATGAATAATGAATTAAATATTTAAACTTATGAAGAATGAATATAGATTTAAGGTACAAAATAACGGTTTTTTATTTTCGAAAATGGGCCCCCCCCTTAAAAATTTTCTGGCTACGCCCCTGGTGAAGTATGACCGAGATTTGGACCAAAATCAGCTATACTGGTTCATAGTGTTCCCGAGGGTGACAAAATTCAAACTAAGTGTTTTTGTAACTGACATAATTATGACATAAATTAGGTATATCTTTTGAACTGTGTCGATATGGGTCTCGGCCGTACTTCACGCCCACCCTTCAAACTTATGCTGAGCAAATCTTGGTCTATCCATAAGACTTTTGATGGTACGGTGTGAATATATCCGCATTGGGTTTCTACCCGATACACTAGTTCTTCTTGAACTTTCCTCACCCTTTTAACGGAATTTATTGAATTTTTTTCATACTGAATTAGGCATATGTAAAAATTTCTTTTTTATGTTTTTCTACTGCGTGCAATTCAATTGTTTTCACCTGTTAAAGAAAAGAATAAAATCTTTCATTAATGCTAACTTCTGAAACACTGAGTTGGGGCTCTAGTGAGAACGAAATGAACACAAAAATGTATTGGAATATATAATGCTTCCGGGCACAAATTTAACAAATCCTAATGATAGATAATTTCATTTGAAAAAAGTCACAGAATCGATTTCTTCAATTCTTTTAAGTAATTTGTCATAGCACTGAATTTAATTGTCCGTAATGATTTGATAAATTTATAAATTAATAGAGTCACATGAGAGTGGATGTATGTGAGTGTTTAATTGTTGTAATGTGATATCATTAGCTTCTAATAGAAAATAGCAATAATTGTCAAATGTCAATGCAAAAATTTTCTCCATTTACTAATTTTCTATCATTAATTTTATTTCCATAGCTAATGCAACACGATATAGCAGCGTGACGGGTCTTTGGGATTTATTTGTATTTGTTTTAAGCACTAGAATATTCATGCAAAGTTTCAATCCATTTGGATAAACCCTCGAAGAAAAAAGTGACAAAATTGATTTTGACTAGGGTCGCCCCTAGTTCAAAATTGAAAATGTATTTCCTTCTTGGTTCTTTGCTCAAAAAAATTTTAAGATCTATTATTTGTATTTGCTTTAAGCACTAGAATATTTGTGCAAAGTTTCAATCTATTTGTATAAACCCTCGAAGTAAAAAGTGACAAAATTGATTTTGACTAGGGTCGCCCCTAGTTCAAAATTGAAAATGTATTTCCTTCTTGGTTCTTTGCTCAAAAAAATTTCAAGATCTTTTATTTGTGTTTGTTTAAGGCACCAAAATATTTATGAAAAGTTTCAATCCATTTGGATAAACCCTCGAAGAAAAAAGTGACAAAATTGATTTTGACTAGGGTCGCCCCTAGTTCAAAATTGAAAATGTATTTCCTACTTGGTTGTTTGGTCAAAAAATTTCAAGATCTTTTATTTGTATTTGCTTTAAGCGCTAAAATATTTATGAAAAGTTTCAATCCATTTGGATAAACCCTCGAAGAAAAAAGTGACAAAATTGATTTTGACTAGGGTTGCCCCTAGTCCGAAATTGAAAATGTATTTCCTACTTGGTTGTTTGGTCAAAAAATTTCAAGATTTTTTATTTGTATTTGCTTTAAGCGCTAGAATATTTATGAAAAGTTTCAATCCATTTGGATAAACCCTCGAAGAAAAAAGTGACAAAATTGATTTTGACTAGGGTTGCCCCTAGTCCAAAATTGAAAATGTATTTCCTACTTGGTTGTTTGGTCAAAAAAATTTTTGGATGTTTTATTTGTATTTGTTTTAGGCATTAAAATATTTATGAAAAGTTTCAATCCATTTGTATAAACCCTCGAAGTAAAAAGTGACAAAATTGATTTTGACTAGGGTCGCCCCTAATCCAAAATTGAAAATGTATTTCCTTTTTGGTTCTTTGCTCAAAAAAATTTTTGGATGTTTTATTTGTTTTTCTTTTTAGATATTAAAATATATATGAAAAATTTCAATCCATTTGTATAAACCCTCGAAGTAAAAAGTGACAAAATTGATTTTGACTAGGGTCGCCCCTAATCCAAAATTGAAAATGTATTTCCTACTTGGTTGTTTGGTCAAAAAATTTCAAGATCTTTTATTTGTGTTTGCTTTAAGCGCTAGAATATTTATGAAAAGTTTCAATCCATTTGGATAAACCCTCGAAGAAAAAAGTGACAAAATTGATTTTGACTAGGGTTGCCCCTAGTCCGAAATTGAAAATGTATTTCCTACTTGGTTCTTTGCTCAAAAATATTTTAGGATGTTTTTTTTTGTATTTGTTTTAAGCACTAGAATATTTATGCAAAGTTTCAATCCATTTGGATAAACCCTCGAAGTAAAAAGTGACAAAATTGATTTTGACTAGGGTCGCCCCTAGTCCGAAATTGAAAATGTATTTCCTACTTGGTTGTTTGGTCAAAAAATTTCAAGATCTTTTATTTGTATTTGCTTTAAGCGCTAGAATATTTATGAAAAGTTTCAATCCATTTGTATAAACCATCAAAAAAAAAGTGACAAAATTGATTTTGACTTAGGTCGCCCCTAGTGTACTTTGGTCAAAAAAATTTTTTGTATTTTTTTTTTGAATTGACATAATTCTGACATAAATCACATTCCAATATTACTTTTTGTAATGCATAGCTTAAAAAAAATCGAAATCTAAAATGTCGACTACCCCATCTGAATTTTGTTCATATTCTTCACTGTGGAAACCAAAAAACAAATTCTTTATCTTAAAACACTTGACAAAATAGCGACATAATTCAGGATTAATTACTTTTTAATAATGTTTTAACATTTACGAGAAAATGTGGTTCAAATAAGTGTGAAGTATGACCGAGATTTGGACCAAAATCAGCTATACTGGTTCATAGTGTTCCCGAGGGTGACAAAATTCAAACTAAGTGTTTTTGTAACTGACATAATTATGACATAAATTAGGTATATCTTTTGAACTGTGTCGATATGGGTCTCGGCCGTACTTCACGCCCACCCTTCAAACTTATGCTGAGCAAATCTTGGTCTATCCATAAGACTTTTGATGGTACGGTGTGAATATATCCGCATTGGGTTTCTACCTGATACACTAGTTCTTCTTGAACTTTCCTCACCCTTTTAACGGAATTTATTGAATTTTTTTCATACTGAATTAGGCATATGTAAAATTTTCTTTTTTATGTTTTTCTATTGCGTGCAATTCAATTGTTTTCACCTGTTAAAGAAAATAATAAAATCTTTCATTAATGCTAACTTCTGAAACACTGAGTTGGGGCTCTAGTGAGAACGAAATGAACACAAAAATGTATTGGAATATATAATGCTTCCGGGCACAAATTTAACAAATCCTAATGATAGATAATTTCATTTGAAAAAAGTCACAGAATCGATTTCTTCAATTCTTTTAAGTAATTTGTCATAGCACTGAATTTAATTGTCCGTAATGATTTGATAAATTTATAAATTAATAGAGTCACATGAGAGTGGATGTATGTGAGTGTTTAATTGTTGTAATGTGATATCATTAGCTTCTAATAGAAAATAGCAATAATTGTCAAATGTCAATGCAAAAATTTTCTCCATTTACTAATTTTCTATCATTAATTTTATTTCCATAGCTAATGCAACACGATATTGCAGCGTGACGGGTCTTTGGGATCTATCGAATTATCAAAACTGCACCCACATCACTACAGTCAATAAAACTTGCAATGAATTTGATCCATTTTCATGGGATATTAAATGTTCAGCTTATGCTACTAGCATAATTTACTACATCGGCTACACAATAAGCCTCATTACACTCATTTTGGCCGTAATTGTTTTCCTGAATTTCAAGTAAATATTTGAGAAATTCTTTCTAGCATTTATTACTATTTGCCATGATATTAAGTCAAACAATTCATTCAGCGTGCAAAATTAATTACAGTTTCTACGGTTTTTTTTTTGTTCTTGTTTACATTTGATACAAGAAAAATTAATTTCCTTCCAATTTCCTTCTATTTTTTTTAAACAAACAAACAAAGAAGGGTAAAACCAGTTGGTGATACAACTGAAAATTTATATTTTGTCAATATTAATTCAATAGAGTGTAGGTATCGGAATTGGCATATAAATGGAAACTGGAACAATGCAAATAATGAAATGTAATTTAACTGTTCTACATTTGCATCCAAATTAAAACTGAAATTTCGATTTTTCCTACGAAATGACATTTGTGTATCAAAAACTTTTATTTCCTTCTGGAAAGTTTCCAATATTTATTTTATTTAAAAATTAAATAAATCGTAATAAATTGTTTTGCATAAGCTGGTAATATTTTCATTTCACCGGCTCTATAAAAAAATGTAATTTAAATAAAAATGTCAAATACACGGACAACTTATTCTTCACTAAACGACTAAAGATAGAAACCCTATTTGTTTAAGCTCTCCTTAAACTCATTTTCATTTATGCATTATCGTTCACAAATCGTCAACATATTTTCAGTCACGTGCGAAGTCTTAAATTTACATTATTTAGACCTTATAAGAAATGAGATATGCCATGCCATAAAATGAATTTGTTTTCGTGCAATCAATTTAATGTACAAATTTATGTAAACATTCGACATTTAATAAAAAATCTTTTATCTTTTTACGCATTCCTTTCTTCTTGCAGAGAGCTTCGGTGTTTGAGAAATACCATCCACATAAATTTATTTTTAACTTACATTTTATGGATATTTTTATGGATTCTTACACTCACTTTACAGGTAAGCTGCTTTTACTTTTTTTTAAACTTTTTCTTCCCTTTTTGTCATTTTGTGGATTTATTTTTTGCTTCTAGCCTCTATTATCTCATTTATTGAGTAGTTTAAATAAATTTAAATCTTCTCACAGAAGTGAGTGAGATTACTTAATTAATAAGGATGAATAAAAAGAAGCGTTAAATTTCATTTAGTCATTCATTTTCACTCTATAGAGCTTTCATTCTCTTTTATTTCACTTTTCTTTTATCGAAAAATGATAATCAGAAATTATTCAACGATAAAATAAACGTTTTTGCTATTTTGATGTTTCTGGTATCAAGAATATTGAACTTAAATAATTGCAGTACATACTTGAAGATGAAAATTGTTTCTTAACATTGATCCACAATTTTTACATTTTCTAATGATAACAAATTGCTCCAAACAGTTAAAAAAATGCAGCATTGAAACAATATTAGAAAAAATTTAATTTAAAAAAAGTCTGCAATAAATTAAGTCCAGCCTTAAAGTCATAAATCACCTTAGGTCACTCCTAACATTCAACCTTGAAGAAAATCACTTAGAATATCCAAAGAAAATGTTTCTGTAATTGATATCTATCGTGATTTCCGATGGCTATAAAACTTAATTAGATACCAATTTTCCATTCATATGGTTCTTAAAAAAAATGAAATCTTTCATACATTCTATTAGAAAAAAATTGATATTTCTTACACATCAATAATGCTCGTTGTTATTGCTAATTAATTTATCAGTCTTAGTTGACTTGTCAGATATGTATTAATGGGCAATTCCACGGATGATTTGAATTTCGAAAAAAATAAATTTTTGATCCATGTTCTTTAAAAATTTGATTGTTTCAAAAATATACTTTAACTATCTTAACACTTTTTAAAACAAGTTAAAGATCTTTATTGACTATTAAACTTTTAGAAACAACATTCTAATCAAGGAAACACTTGTTAATTAAAGTAAAAGTTGCTCTTTTGAAAATCATTTTCTCACGGATTTGGCTTAAGCGTTGGTATATTATATTAATTGCAATAAAATTATTCATTTTTCTGTCTATTGAGTATCTTTCAATTCAATTTAAGCATGCAGAACCATAAAAGAGGGTACAATGAACGGCATAACAACCATTAATAGTTGTGTAGATGTCTTTAAAGTCGTAAATTTCTGCTTTCAAAATCAGAATTCAACATTGTGTAATATACCAACGCTCACAAAAATCCAAATATTTCATTAATTAAAGCTTGATGACAAAAGTTAATTATACGTAACTGTTTTTTGAAATTCAAATTTTCTAACGGTCAATAAATATTTGAAACTATAGAGGTAATGTTGAAATTATAGACGGAAAAAAATTTGAGCAGGTTGCACCGTACTGAAATAAAAAAAAATCATTAATTATAGCACAAAGCCATTGTTTTATGCTTCAAAAATATTCGATCAGCCAATAACTCGATAGAACTGAGCTAATAAAACAAATCCGAGCTCTCTACGATGTCTGGTTGCAAATTTTTTAACGTGCCCCGAACAGCCGAACAAAGTGTATTATTAAGCTACCTTTTCGAAACAAGTTTCAAAAATACGCTAAAAATTGAATATTTGTACTACCATGAAGATAAAGGCATTAATACTGCTGTTTGAGAGCTTAATAAATATCAGAGATCGAAGCCGATTTTTTCGGCTTAACTCAAGTTTTGATTTTTTTGATAGAAAAAAGCTATTTAACACACATTTCAAGTATTTATATTGGACTTTACATGCTTTACTATGATTTTGTGTAATATTTTGTCAGCATGTAGCTATAGTAAGCTCAGAATTTCAAGTTAAACGATTTTAAGCCGAATTTTAAGCCGATCGGCTTATCATCGACTAAATTGAAATTCTGAGCTTACTATAGCTACATGCTGACAAAATATTACACAGAATCATAGTAAAGCATGTAAAGTTCAATTTAAATACTTGAAATGGGTGTCAAATGGCTTTTTTCCAGAGATCGAAGCCGATTTTTTCGGCTTAACTCAATTTTTGATTTTTTTGATAGAAAAAAGCCATTTAACACCCATTTTAAGTATTTAAATTGAACTTTACATGCTTTACTATGATTCTGTGAAATATTTTTTCAGCATGTAGCTATAGTGAGCTCAGAATTTCAAGTTAAAGAATGTTAAGCTGAAATTTAAGCCGATCGGCTTAAAATCGGCTAAATTGAAATTCAGAGCTTACTATAGCTACATGCTGAAAAAATATTTCACAGAATCATAGTAAAGCATGTAAAGTTCAATTTGAATACTTAAAATGGGTGTTAAATGGCTTTTTTCTATCAAAATAATCAAAAATTGAGTTAAGCCGAAAAAATCGGCTTCGATCTCTGCTTTTTTCTATCAAAAAAATCAAAAATTGAGTTAAGCCGAAAAAATCGGCTTCGATCTCTGCTTTTTTCTATCAAAAAAATCAAAAATTGAGTTAAGCCGAAAAAATCGGCTTCGATCTCTGATAAATATAATAATAATTTCAATCATTCCACAATTGAGCAAACACAAAAGCGTCATCAACATTCACCTGCAATTTATACTCGAGGCAAATTGCCAAAAAAATGTGTTCATGTCAATCCATTCCTACCCTGTACACGGAATTTAATTGCCATCGTAAAACCAGAATATAAAAGTTGATTAAAGCGAATAATTACTGAATTTTTTTCAAGAATTTTTTTATCATTAAATGATTCCATAATGCGGATACAATGAGTTTTTCGATTGAAACGAAATATTCGCAATCGTTCATTTTAATGAATGTGAAACTTAATAAAGAATTTTATTTCATAATTCAGGTGCTTTAAAAACTTACTCCGAAGTAATACATTTATTATATTGAATAATCTAAACCTCCAAAAGAACAATGTTAAATTGCAATAAACATTAATTCATATTCAATACCGATGCCCCTCAAAAATTATTTTTAATTTTGCAAAATTTACCAAATAATAAGTTATAAATATAATGAACATGAATAAACAATGAACCTACAGCATACCTGTACATTAAATGCTCTTTCATCAATTAAGTAATTAAACGTTCATAATTTAATTAACAGTTTGCGTTTGATATTTTAGTTGCGAAAATCAATGCATGGACACGATTTTATTTCATTCGATCGATACCTGATTTATTGACTTATTCGCGAGAAATTTACATTTATTTATTTTTATATGAAAATTAAATACAAATTGTTTTTGTTTATGTTATATTCAACAGATGTTTACCGGCAGTTCCACCGTAGGATGTGTACTTTCAGCAATATTTCTTCATTATTTCATGCTTACAAACTTTTTTTGGATGATGGTTGAAGGTAAGTTATAAATTAAAATATTCCATTCATTTAAATTTTTATTCATAGTCACTTAAATTAGCGGCAGATTTAACCTTTTTTATTGTGTTACTAAATTGAAATTAATTTCAATTCACTGTGGCAAAAGTCAGTATCATTCATTTTGGTCACAATAGAAAATGTATAGTTAAAAGTCAAGAAATATTTTGTCATTATTAGTTTCTAAGACATCACATGGACTAAATTGAAATTTAAGAGAGTTTCAGAATAGTAAAACATTTCCATCCAGTTTCCAATTTGCTTAAAGATAAAGAATGGTATGGAATAATTTAGCAAGGAGTAAAAAGCTTCAATTTGGCAAGCAAATTCAAATAGTGGAAAAGTTTTTAATTTCAAGTTTTTTTTAAAAAATCTGGCTTTAAATAAATTTAAACATAATGTTTTTTTTACCAATTTAAAATATGAGTAGGTAGATACTTTCAAAAACACCTAATGCAATAGTTCCTTATATAATCCCGTAATAATAATTTTTGCAGTGTTAAATATTAAAAATCTTGCAAAGAAGATTTAAAGTTTCCGATTTATTTAGAATCTTAAATTGTTGAAGCAAAATATCAACAATTTCTCAGAAAAATTACATTGAATTAATTTTTTAAAATACGTCGTGATCATAATGGTCTTAGCTTTATGGTTTCACATTGAAAAAAATTAATATTAGGAACATGAAAATTTTGTCTAGTTCACTAAATTGTTGATAAATCTTCATTATTTTATTTTTAATTTGGGTTCATCATTTCGCAAAATACTGATACTGACTTAAAACGTTGGAAGTAACACTACAAAATTCTTAATTTTTCAATCTGATATTAACTAACAAGTCGCTCATAAAAGAAAAGCTTTTAATTACCGCAACTGAGTCAGAGTATTTTCCATTTATTCAAATTAATTTGCTTTACTTATAAAATTAATAGAAACTATAAAACAATTTTTTTTTCTTTCCATTCACAGGTCTTTATCTCTACATGCTTGTTGTACAAACATTCTCTGGCGATAACATCCGATTTAATCTATATTTTATTATTGGATGGTGTAAGTAAAACATGACAAAAATTTACTCTGTTTTTTTGTTCACATGAGTAGTATGTATAATCGATTAGTAATTGTTACATGCCTACATGCATTAAACACTTCTCTTTTGTTTACCTTCTTTCACGCCCTTTAATACCTAATTTTAGTTCGAGGACTTGTATCTGTACACTCGACAGGAAAGTTTGCTACATATAGAAATGTCCATTGAGTAATCGTAATGGCATCGATGGACATCCTACATTGTTTATAGCGCGTTTTAGCAAACTTCATATTAACTTAAACTAAAATGTTGAGTGATAATTACTTGAATTGTTGAGGAAGCTCTTCTTTAATAATATTATCCCCCTACCCAAAATTATCAATTCAAAAAAAAATATTTTAGACCCTTTCGTTAAACTCCATAAAGGCAACTTGTTCAGATACAGACATGTTTACATTTGCGTTTCCCAAAGAAAGTTAATAAAATTTTGTGTTCAAAATAATTTATTTCACACGTACGAACTCTATCGTTGACTAAATCTATTCCCTTAATATTTTGTGGCAGTTCCACATGATTGTATATTTCCTCATTTTTTCTAACCGCATTGCAAAATATTTTTTTTTTCTTAAAAGTATTTGAATAAAGTGCGTACTTTATACGTATTATTTTATTTTTTTTAAGTTGGTATCACATATCCACGCGTATGTAAATTCTGCTAGGTGGCTACCTTTTAACAAATGACAGCATTAATTTTGATATGGGATATTAGGGTTTCAAAAATCGACTGCTGACATAAATCATTTGGAAATCGTTCAAGAAAATATTGATCCGCGTACAAAAATATTTTATTGAATTTCAGTTCCTGTAGATTTTTTTTTGTCGAATCACGAATGAACTTGAATGAGCTAGGGAAAGTAAGCAAGTGCTTGAATGACCGTGACATTTGTCACAAGAGTATGATACCATAAATCTCAGTATACATTAAATGAATGTGATAAATTGCACTACATGACTCCTATATTATCACTGCATATGTATATCCATTGAAATCGACCATGAAATTCAGAACAATTTTTCTTTAAAATATTCATCGACCATAGAAATCCCTAACACATACGTATCGAAGTCCATTTGACTAAATTTTAAAAACAGGTGTTAACGTTTATCGATTATTCAGCCTGTTACACTTTCAGACATTTACATTCCACATGACATGAAATTTTGTTCATATCCACAATCATGAAAAATGTATAGCAATAATGTGAATAAGAGGTTTTTCCACTTGTTAAAATCTTCTTAAATCCATCATCATTGAAATGCCAATAAATTTTTATAATGACGGTAAACACTCAATCTATTTTTACATGCATGAATCGATGTGAATGAGAAGCCATAAATTTCATTTGACAGTAAATTTTAATGACGGCAATCAATTTTATGCTTTATTTAAAATGAACACAAAGAGTTTTGTGCTAGGATTTAAATCATTTAAAGTCAATGTGGCTATTTATCACTTCTTTTTATTGCTTATGTAATATTTTAAGCATCATAGCACATCCAACAGTGCACTCAAAACAAAGAAAAGGTCGTAGAGCAAACATTCTAATGATGTTTAAATAAACTTATACTTCAAAATTTATCTTTCTCAGCTAAGTATATCCTCTCCATCACTATGAGATTCAAAACTCAAACAAAACTTATTCTCATAGAACTTTATAGAAATTCATGAAGAATGAAAATTCCTTTCTTTGTTTGTTTTGGACATTTTTTTATCATGAATCGATTCAAATTAGTAAATCATACAGAAGAATTTTGAATGATCACGATATAATTTTTTTTAAAAGCTGTTAGTTTTAAAATTTTAAATCATTCAGAAAGTTTTAAATCAATTATAAATGCACAAATTTGTTGGTGTTCAGTCGATATGATTTGCGTGGTATTATCTGGTTTTATAAAATAACAGATACATATTCTGCCATTTAGTGTTGATGCTTAAGTTGATTCTCTGATAAAATCACTAGAGAAAATATGAATCGATAAACTTAACTACAAATTTAGACTTTTTGCCTCCAATAAACAAGACACAAATTTTTGAAATAAAGAAATTTTCTGAACAAGTTAATTTACATGCATGCTCACATTCATTATCAAGATCTTCAACAGCATCTTATGTTTACCCTTAAATATTTGTAATTAAAATTTCATGTAACATCATCGTGCATTTGACTTTATCAGCACATAAAAATGAAAATTCAATCCAAGTTTTATCGAAATTTAATAACCCTCATAATAAGCCACAACAATGGTTTTTGATACGAGTTTTATTTCAAGGCTATCAGAAAATGAGGATGGAACTTCAACATTAGCTTCGAGAAAAGAGATGCGAACTCGTTACAAGAAAAGTCTGACGTTTCTTTGCTGAATAAATAATGATACTTCCTCTACGAATAGAATAATAATCATGAAGACAGTTTATGCCTCAAAGCTTGCTCTATATCCTTGCTCTTGGCAGCTGTTTAATTTTCATGACGTCAATTCAATTCAATAAAGTGAATTTTGCTCAAATTGGTAGCAAAATGGCTCGCTAATATGTCGCTGGTAAAATTAAATATATATATATATATATATATATATATATTCAAAAAAAAAATCATTTTCCTTTTCACTCACTTATTTGCATTGAACATTACTTTACAAATTCCACTCTTTTCAACTATCTTAAAGTAAGTACCTTTTGAACAGTTATGTTATTGCCAATCACATTTCTTTGGATTTCCTTCCGAAATCAATTTGTAAGTGCTTCCTTCTCAGTAAAAATATTTTTCTTCGATTTTTTTTTGCTATTTTTAGATGAATGAAGGATAAAGAATATCCTCATTTTCTTTAATATACCACTTCCTCTCCATTCAGTCGTAAAAGTGAATCTGCTGGAAATCTTTAGCATATGTTTTGAGTGGTTTTGGTCATGTTTATAGGATTTTATATAACTCATGTCTGCTAGATATTCTCAACTCACTTTTGCTAGCTTGTTGAATAACCATTTAGCAATAATATATATCCATACCTTTTTCGCCACCTCTTCTTTTGTATTTATTAGACCGGATTAGACCTTACGTAATTTATTTTTATATTTTTATCAAAATCCATCTACTCACCTAGGCTTTCCGAGCGTTTTTGTGGGGTTTTGGACTATATTTAAAGCATTCGCGACAGATTTTGATAGTGAAAATGTGAGGCAAATGGAGGATATAACCACAACCTTAAGCACAACAGAAACAGAATCGAGACTTGTTTGTTCATGGATGAGAGAATCTAATATTGATTGGATTATACAAGGACCCGCATGTGCCGTACTCATTATTAATCTAATTTTTCTGGTTCGAATAATGTGGGTAAGTTGATTCTCTCGATGATATTTTTTGCTATGACTATATAATTTGTGCCTTGAACTTTTATCTTTTCTTTTTAAGGTGCTTATTACAAAATTGCGTTCAGCCAATACAGTGGAAACACGACAGTATCGCAAAGCGTCAAAGGCTCTTCTCGTACTTATCCCTCTTTTAGGAATAACATATTTAGTTGTTATCGCCGGACCAAATGAGGGTTTTGAAAGTCACATTTTTGCAATTTTAAGAGCAGTTCTTCTCAGTATTCAAGGCTTATCAGTTTCAATGTTTTATTGTTTTTTAAACTCTGAAGTACGGCAAGCACTCAAGCATCGTTTTCATCGCTTAAGGGATTCTCGTAATTTAAGTGCATCGAATTCTATTCGCAGTCGACGTTATACAATGTCAAAAGATTATTCTCCTCGATCACGAACGGAGAGCATACGGTAATGGGTATTCAATTAAAATTTATTAATTTTTTTAATGGATTATCAATGGATCATCTTTTCTACTATCATACATACTTCCATTATGCTATTCAATATATTTATTTATTTTTTCTAGCTTAACTCTTCCTGTTACAACAACATAAAAAAACAAAACTTTGAACTTAATATCTATTTAGAACAAAATAATGTTTAATTTATTATATTCTACAATCTCTTATGCTACATCTTGAGTTTCTTCTTCTCTACATTATGATTTCCTATTTTCATTCAATTTTTCGTAAGAACACAAATAAAACATAAAGAATCTCCTTTTATTTCGCTATATCTAATAAGTAAGTGCTGTTATTTTATTATCTCTATATATTTTCTTTCTTATTCTATCTACATCACATCAAAACTCATTCATTCACACTTATATAGCCATTTATAAAAATACATAGCTTATGGTTTTATCATTGTTGCTATTTTAATTTTTACTAAACATACCAAGACAACAATATATGCTTTCTTATTGTTCGCTTAATTTTTTGAAGTTTAATACTGCACTTTTTGACAATGTGAAAGATTTTTTAAGTTTAATGCAATGCTCATTTGTTACTTAAATAACATAAACGAAATGGCCATAATGCTAATGGTTTTCATATTTTTTTGTATTTCAGAACGACCCAGGAATATACAGTTATAGTACGGATGACAGAACTTTAGAATTTGAGAAGCACAAAAAGGCAGAGTAAAAGAGCTGAACTGCACAAAAAGATGAAAATGAAATATAATTCAAAATAAGAAAAAGGAATGGAAAAAAGCATTAGTGATGTTTAGATGAATAATGACAAAAAATGGCAAAGCTAATACTTTTTCTTCATCCCGCATCGAAAACAAAATAATGCGAAATAAAAAAAAAAATATTTATTACAGAAAAGGAAGTTGATATGTATTTCTAATTTTATATTCTAATGATGCCAAAGTACTTTTTAAAGATCTTAATGAAAACAGAGCTGGTTTTTAATAGAATAGTTCCAATGACATGATTTTGTGGATAATATAAATTTGAAAGTCTTCAAGTTTATTAAAATATTGCCTGGAACAATATCATTAAAAAAGAATGTCATAATAAATAAAATTATTACATTTTAATCATCATTAACCATAAATTTGTATCACAAAGAATTTTTAAGCTTGATATGTATATCTTGGTCAAACTCAAAAACCAGTGCAATAAAAATGTTATATAGTTGACAAGCACACTATCAACGAACACTGAAAAAACAGGCATGTCACAAAAAAAAATTAATCTCTAATTGATTTCAAGTCACTAAAATTATATTTTATTCTAGCAAATGTCAATTTATTATTATTCCATCAACAACCAACTCTAAGCAAATAAAAAGAGAAATTTAATAAATTATGATAGAATTAATAAATTAGAAATAAAAAAATTGATTCTGGATATCATTATGATCAGAGATCGAAGCCGATTTTTTCGGCTTAACTCAATTTTTGATTTTTTTGATAGAAAAAAGCCATTTAACACCCATTTTAAGTATTTAAATTGAACTTTACATGCTTTACTATGATTCTGTGAAATATTTTTTCAGCATGTAGCTATAGTGAGCTCAGAATTTCAAGTTAAAGAATGTTAAGCCGAAATTTAAGCCGATCGGCTTAAAATCGGCTAAATTGAAATTCAGAGCTTACTATAGCTACATGCTGAAAAAATATTTCACAGAATCATAGTAAAGCATGTAAAGTTCAATTTAAATACTTAAAATGGGTGTTAAATGGCTTTTTTCTATCAAAAAAATCAAAAATTGAGTTAAGCCGAAAAAATCGGCTTCGATCTCTGATTATGAGTACAAAACAATGTGTTTCATAGCAACAAAACAAATTTAAAAAAAAAGGAATATAATGAAAAACTTTATTTGTTGATGGTTGAAAAGATGATAAATAGTTTATGTGTCAGCTTAATTAAATTAATGAAATGAAATTTAATCTTAATGTTAAAAAATTGAAAAAAAATATTTTTAAGGCAAATCAATGAATTTAAAAATACAAACTTGGAATGATGAAAGCCTGTAAGGAATTAAGAGGTTTTAAAAATCAAGTGTGTTGTTTCCTTATTGAATTACTATCAAGAAATGAAGATTATTCCTAAACTTTAATGAAATTGGCAAATGCAATGTCTTCCCGAAAATCATATCTAGTTTAAAGAGATTTAAAATGTCAAAAATGTTTTGTGAGCATATGAAAACAAACATTTTCATACATACTAAATAATTTTATTTACCTGCATACCAATGTTGATCGAAAATTATCCATATTTTCCATTTTCAACTGTTTAAAGATAATTTCGAAAAAATTGTGTAGCTTAGCTTCTCATGAATTTCCAATGTAACTATTTTAACTTGCCAAGTCAAAACAAAGAAAACTATTGATGAAACTAAAGGTTCACATAAAGGAACAAAAATTTTATACCCCCATAATAATTTTATTAAATATTTCATCAAGAAAGTTGAAAAATTAATTATATTTGGAGAATATATTTTTTAAATATTGCAAAATGTATTTGAAAAGAATTAAATTGTATTTAAAAAAAAGTAGAAAAATCTAGGGTGACCATCTAATTTTTATGAAAATACAGGACATTTGATAAATTTCCTAAAAAATACAGGACACAAAGGAAATTTTGAAAATTAACGGAAATTTTCGTGAAAAAATACAGGACCTGGAACAAAATTTTCAAATTTATACAGGACAGGGTTTTGAAATACAGGACTGTCCGTTGTAAAACTACGCAGATGGTCACCCTAAAAAATCCCATATTTGGAACCATATGAATGTGCCATTTATAAATACATTTTTAAGCCAAAATCCATTTTAAGAGAATTTTAAGATTTTAAAGGGTCAAAATTCTTTAATAATTAATAAATAAAATATTTTTTATCAACGATTAGAAAAACTGTTTTTCTGAAAGAAGAATTATAAAAGCTTTTAAGTGAATTCATGCTTTTATGTTAAGTATGATAGGAGAAGAATTGTGTATTATCAACAAAAAAGAAAATAAGAGAAATTTGGAATAAAAAGTCAAAAATACTGAAAAAGAACCACATTTAATTTGAGACTGAATGAAACCTTGAAATTGCCATTAATAAAGTTTGGCTTCTGGTTTGAGTTTGCTTGTATCTTCTTTGAACTGGACATATGTAAGTTTATGAGAAGTTTTTCAATTTTTGTACTCAAATATTTGCAGGACATGTTTTATCTTGTGAATATTTGCTTCATAATATTTATTTGTAATTGTTAAAAGTGGAAGTTTGTAATCAAGAAAATAATATAGATTAAATAAATCTTTTGAGCTTTTTTACAGTAAATTAAATTAAGCAGACAACTGACTTATTAACTCGAATGAACAGTTCGTTAGCTTTTTGTTTTATTGTTGATACGTGACCTGAAATCATATTCGAAACGATTTTATTAATTGCGATTAAAATGGCACGAAATCATTTTGAACAGAAGTAATTAACTATTCAAAGTCAATCTTTCACACCTGCTTTATCAGCTTTAATTTGCACAGCTGTTGTACGAAAAGTATTAGTTTTTCTTAGGGAAGATTGCTGGCAGTTTAATTTAATTATTGATCAAAGCTATTTAAATATTCAAGAAATTGCTGGAAATTCTATAGCATTTAGCTGATTGAATCTTGTATAGATCGCACTTCATGTTAGATTGTGGAATAGAAAGTAAAAAAATCCGTTCTTTAGTTTTATTCTTCATGTGTAAATTTGCTAGTATACAGTGATTTAGTTCTTACTTTATATATAAGAGTAAAAATATCTTTATCTAAAAATATGTAAGTAAGTTTTCAAATTTTAGTGGCTTTTAATTTTTTTAAAATTAATTTCAAACTAGTAAACACGATGAAAATCAGCATCTATTTCGTTGCGTTCTCAACATTTTTATTTCTTTCATTGGCACACAACGAAAATTTAATTTATAAAAAATTATTAAATGGTAAAAGGCTATCAAATTATATCTGTAATGTCACAAGAAACATTGTTAAATCTAAAACTGATACTCAGGATGTTCTGATTAAAAGCTTTGGTGATGTGATTTGGTCTTCGGAAATCAATGACATTGCAAAATGTGTTGAAGATGTAAGTTCTGTAGTTGTCAGCGATTTTAATAGAGTACTGACAACAAAGACGTTGAGAAAAGCAGCTGTTATAATTATAATGATAAATATTGCAACTAAGGTAAACAAATTAGTTTTAATATAATTGCTTCTATGATACAAAAAAAAAGAAATAACAGAAAACCTTAATAATAAGGTTCAAAACAGAATTATTTCAAAAATAAGAGTTATAGTTAATTATTGTGTTTTTAATTTCAATTTATTAAAGGATACTGTTGTTGAGCTCATAGGTAGATGTCGCAACACCCTAAAAGGAATAGACATCGTGTGGCACCATATGGCAAAGCTAATAATTGTTGTTTCAGAAAAGAACTCAAAAAATGCAAGAAATTTTCTGCTTCAAGACTTTATGAACTTTGGCTTCTTCGATGTAGCTTGTGTACACATCACTTTAGATGGCAAAATTCAGGTCGAAAATTTTAGTTCCCTCTCGCAAAATAAAGTCATAAGCCTTAGTCCATTAGATCCTCACATTATTTTTCCGAATAAATTGAGAAATATGGAGGGTCATTCATACAAGATTGCAGTATACAGTCAAATTCCACGCGTGATAATTAGAAAAGGAAATATAACAACATCTTTGGTATATTTTATGTCAACAATGAAAAATATCCAAAATGCAACTATTAAGTACTATATCGATAAAAATTTTAAGGATTTACAAGATCGTTGGATGAATCGAATGATGGATTTGACTTTCAACACAGGAATTATGATGTTAACAAATGAGACGGAATTTATGACTTACGAAGAAAATAATTACTGTGCTATTGTTCCAATACCTCCAAAAATACCTCTATTTTATTTAATATTCATCAGACCATTCGACAGTTACACCTGGTATTTACTTATTCTTACTATTTTAACATCTTTTGTTGCTTTTTGCTTATTTCGCAATAATGGTGCTGTAGATTCTCCATTTCTTATTGCGTTTGGAATTTATGCAATATTTATTGGCCAATGTCTTGATTTTAGTCGGAAGAATCGGTTGGTATTAGGCATTCTGATCCAAATTATTATTGTGATGATTTGGGTGCTGAGTAATGCTTATGAAGGGATCATTACGTCTTTTATGATTCAACCAATTGATGATAATCGATTAAAAACATTTGACGATCTTGTAAGATCTAATTTTAAAATCATAACTAGTGATGGAATCGTTGAAAAAATGAAACTGTCCGAATTTTATCAAATATTAAAACCACGATTGAATACTTCTGGTCCACGACTAGGTGATCATTTTCGTGTAGAAATCCAACGAGCTCGTTTCGTTTTCATTATGAATTGTGATGAAATGGAAATACTTTTACCTTCTACAATACCTCGAAGTAATATCAAAGTCTCTCAACTTTATTATATGCTTCCACAAAAATTTCACTCTAATTACATTAAACTATCTGCTAGTTATATGAATCCGTATCTAGAAACACTTCAGTACTACATGGATTTTTCATTTCAAGCTGGTTTGCCTTACATTTGGACAGTTTATGCATCTTTTAACATCAGTTTCAAGAAAAGATTGACTGATGATACCGATACATTTGGTTATCTAAAACTAGAAGATTTGAAACAAGTGTTTAGTATTCTTTTAATTGGATGTGCATTATCAGCTCTTGTATTGCTTCTGGAGATTTTCATTTGTGATACAGTATCAAAATTTAAACTTGCAGTTTTTGAACGTAAATTTAGAAATCGAGTGAATCGAATGGCACATAAAAGTAAAAGGTATCAGAATACAGGATTTCATAAAAGAAAGAAATCCAAACGGTTACAGCCAAAAAAGTTAAAAGATCGGGTGATTTATGTTCAGCCTATATTTTAGGAGAAGAATCTCTTTTTCTGTCATTTATAACCGAACAGCATGAAAATTTAATTTTCAATATTAAAAATTGAATATTTCTGATCTGGAGTCGAGCTGAATATTATCATTGTAAAGACATATATAAAAATCCTATAAATGTTTAATTGCATTCATTTGAAAGATATCATTACATGGAAAATTATTGGAAGTATTATCCAATCCATCAGTATCGTCAACGTCAACTCGAATCAGACTCTGCCTCAGTTAAATAATTAAAAACTTGAAGTCGTGTTTACGTGAAAGCTCATTGCTTGATAAGCTGCAACACATTACATCTCCTTTTCTCATCCTTGTCTCTTCCTTGTCATTTTTTCTCTACTCACTCATTCTCAAATTACTCACTACAAATATAAAAGCAATGGAAGTTGTTTTTTCCATAGAATAATGCTCTAAATGTTGACGCGGTTTATGTGTTGACGAGCTATAATAAGAATGTGCGCGTTGTTTTTCTTTAAAAATACGCAAAATAATAATATTTCTATTCTTCATATCCGCAATAATTGCATTTTTTTATTACGCTTATGTGAGACATTATTTACAGTTTATGGTTTATGGACGAAGGAATGAATTTACTCTGAGAGGAAAAAAAGAATGCAAAATTTGAATTTATATAGACTATATTCTATAATAATTAACTATGTTTTGTCACTTTTTTTTTAAATTAAGCTTTTTAAAAAAGAATACTTGTTGTTTAATTGATATTCCCGACTGTAACTCATGCGGCCTGTTTCACTAAAGTGGATTATCCTCGATTTCGGATTATCCACTTCAGTTTTTTGTAAATATCTTAAACTTTATGGGAGGTGTGGTATTTATAATTTTGGATTATAATAGAGTGAAGTATGCCTGAAATTTCTGTATACTTTAAACTTTTACTTTTCGTTAAGAAGTATTCATTACTCAATTTTCTAGCCAAATCTAGTAGATTATCTTGGATCTTTGCTATAATTCTCAAACCAGTGAAGATATAAAAATTCTAAGTTTATGTTAATTTAAGTAGCAAAATACTCTAACTAGATCACACATAAGATCTCTTAAAAACCTTAAGCGTCTGGAGATATTTCCAAAAAATTGAAGTGGATAATCTTAAATCGAGGATAATCCACTTTAGTGAAACAGGCCGATGGTTATTTGAATGAAATAATAAGTACAGAGCTGTTTACTTATTGATTTATCACTGATCCTTCAAAATTAAAACTTAGATCACCAACTGCAATAAATCTTTAGTAACCAGCTCAGCTCAAGTCCTCTAAACATTGCTTAAAATTTGAAAGCTTGTACCAAAAAAACTCTAACAGCATCATGTTATTTACAAAAAGCTTGCTTATTTATAAAAGGGAACAATGTGTATCAAATGAACAAATCTTGCTGTTTTAAAATAAAACGATTAGGTAGAAACACAAAAATTTAACATAAAGTTACAAATGCACTTCACAGAATTCTTAAAACTTAAAGCAATGCTGATTAATTCAATGAACAGTGAAGGATTAGGAAAGTTAAATTTCTTCTATCAAACCTTGAATGAACGATGAAAAAGTTTCATTTCTAGACTCAATAAACTATAGAAACTATAAAATCTATTAAATTGTCTTTTGTTCCGTTTTTAAAGCAGAGTTTTGAGAATTATTTGATGCTGCGTATATTTTTCATCACAAGTTTCACTATCAAAGCAAATTAAAGATTTCACTTAACTTTACTTTACTCTCACTGTAAATTCCTTCGAATATTATTAATCGCATAGCATATTATTCCTTTACGAGATACATAACTATATTTAGAAATACAGCAGATGATGATAGTTGATGAATTTATATTGAATTATGCAACATGAATGTGTCGTGACCTCATCGATGCTTCATAATATATAATAATATCATAACGATGTTCTAAGCAATCGTAACTAGAAGAAAAGCAGTCAAATGTTAAGTAACATAAGCCTAACATCTACCCTACATCATTCAGCAAATAAATTACATCTGCATCTCTCAGCAATGTCCCTTTCTCAGAATATTAAACTCTGAAAAAAATTTTGACATAATTTGTCACATTTAGTGCAATACAAACAAATTTACAAACATGTCACTCACTTTCTTCATGTGAACATTCATTAAATACCCTCACTGCACATTGATTTATAAATGTACGTCTCGTTTTACCATTTGTAGCACACACAGGTCGTGTATAATGTGGACATGATGTTTGACCGCAACCACTTGGTGCCTTCTCACACAATATTGACACAATGACTGATAATATCAGCACTAAAAGTGTAAATGCAGGAATGAGATAGAAAAAAAAATCATTGACATCTACAATCTTAATTAATGTCTTTACAAACCAATTGATAGAAATCCGGAGACAATCTTCATGATTAAAAAAGTAAGCGTTGACACACAATCAAAAATGAGAATAGAATATTCGAAGCGTAAATATTCCTAGGTGCTGTTTCGTTGTAAAGTTCTCTCGCAACTGTCAGTGCAGCGAGGAAAAGGAAAACAAAAAAAAAAAATATATATATATACATAAATAAAAGTTCCCATAAAGTTTATGTTGGTATGTATAAAGCTCGTGTATTCACACACCCAAACGAAATAAAACTCTCAATTTCTTCTCTGTTTTTGTTGTGCTATCAGCAACCAACTGTCTAAGGAAGGTGCAAAGTCGAGAGACGGAACAAAACGAAAACATGGTGATGTGTTTGACCATAAATTTTATGTTACATTGGATATAGAGTAAAAAAGCATTTGATTGATGCTTGCTCACACCATAAATTTGTTCTCTCTTCAAATCAACATTTAATGTAAGATGTTTCCTTTTTTTCTGGGCGCATAATAAACAATATGATTTTCTCGTAAGAAGTAATGTATCGACATTTTTGAAAGTGATTTCAAATTTCATATTTCACTTAAAATCAACTATCATACAAAGTCCTTAATTCGATTAAAATTTGTTGTTAAGTAAAAGCAAAAATTTTGCATTATTAATGACTCTTGACCTATTTTTTATAGTTCACTCATAGATTCATGGATAAATCAACTTTGAACTGGTTTAACAGAATTATTTACAGTCCAAAGACAAGCGACAAATATTTATCATCATTCATTCATTTCATAAAAATTGTTTAACAACTATACATTTTTACGACTCACAATCATTTAATTTAGGTTTTGTTCTCCTTTTCATTCTATTTTTCAAGTTTCTTTTTCTCATTTTTTCTCTCAATTCTTTTTTTTTGCTCATCGTATAAATAAAAATAAAAAAATATACTTTCATTCCTTTTTGTTGATTATCGTTTCTTTTTTCTTGTTCATTGTACGACTCAAATAATAATGATGATGATTCATAAAAAAGGCCCCAACTACACCAGACTGAAACTTTTTTGTGCTTTGGGTTTTCAGTTTTATTTGTGTTGTTGTTGAATGACAACATTTTGTGTACGCAATTTTTGCATATACCCATCTGCAAGGAGAAAAAAGGCTTGAGCTTAGGTACAATTTGTGAACCTTCCAGTTTATTTTTGATGAGAGTCAGCTAGTTTTACGGAAATATCAGCAATATTAGCTGAAGGAAATATAAAGATAATGAAAGCTTATAATATTGTGCTTATGCTCCTTCCCAGCCGCAAGCAACAATAAAAATATTTTTCCTGGTTCCGTTCATTATCATGAATTGTAAAGTATCTGTTATAGTATTCTTATTTTTGTCCGTTGTGCTGAAATTTATTTCCTATTGTATCCTTAATATTTGGTTATTCATGACTCATTAATAGAAGCGCTACAAAAATTTATTACAGTTTTATATTTTCATTTTTTATCTCTCTAATTAAGTATCCAAAGGGAATTTTTCATTTTATTGCTGTTCTAGAACTTTAGGGTCCTCGTTGAGTAAAACATTCAAAAATGCGAAAGAAAAATCGATGTAAATTAAAGTCTTTAACGTTCCCGAATTTTTACTTTCTCTGGTGTTTGTTATTTCTACTTTGTTAGTTCATTTATTGATTCTGTCAAGCTTGCAAGAATATAAATGAGTTGGATATTAGTAGACTGTATATCTTATCAATTTAGGATATAAAAGGAGCGCGAGGAAAAAATTCAATTAATGCTATTCTTTCCATTTTTTGACCTACTCGCTTGTGGCAACAATTTAATAAAAAAAGAGATTTTTATAAAAAAGGATTTAATGGAATTAAATAGGGTAAAAAATATGTAAATTGGTACGAAATGGAGACAATAAGTTTAAAAAGCCATAACTTTCTATCTGGTGCTCGATATTTAATCAAAGAAATTTAAAACATAAAGATTTTTTTGATATACATGAAATACTTACAAATTTCGTTGTTATTTCCAGAGTGCTCTTTTCAGTATTTTTTTCAACTGCCTGTTGCTCTTATTTCCTGCTTGAAGTTTTCGACGATGTTTATCTAGTTCCAGTTCACATATTTTTTCGACTATTTGCACCTGTGAAACTATTGCTGATATCTTTTCCTATCTTTCTTCTTGACTTTTGTTGATTTCGACAAAAAAAGAATTCCGATTATTGAATTTTAATTATTTTCATTACTAAGTTTTCACTTTACTCACCATTTCTTGTGTCCATCCGATGCTGTTGTTCGTTAAATATGTCCTAGAAAGATAAAAATAAGGAAAAATTAATTAATTATTGCACAAAAGTATTATTTCATGCAGACAATTTTTCACAACAAATTAATTATTTACACTGTTTTCCTTAATTATTTTATAAGACAAGTTTGGTTTTGTCTTTCTTATTTTTAATGCTGGTTCTTTTGATGTCACTTTCACTTAATTTAATTAACTTTTTTACTTATTATTTTCAGATTTTTTTTCAGTAATTTTCAATTTTATTCACTTTTAATTGTAATTATATAAGTGCTTGTATTTTTTCCCAAGTCCTACCATGTTTGCGGATGATTTACAAATATATTTACTTAAATTAACTCTCTATTTAATTAATTATTTCACTTTTTCACTCAATCTCGGACTTAGGGAGTTTTTTGCCCGCTCCTGCGGGCGAAAATGGGTGGGCGGTGGGCCGTGACCTAGTAAACAGATGACAACGTGGTCCTTAAGATTAATTAAATTATGTGGTTTATACTCACTGTTGATGATCCAATTATGTCTCAATATCTTTATAAGACCCTTATCTACCCTTATCTACCTTTATCAACACGAATATACTACTAATATAGACTAATTAATAAACATATGTTAACATTAAAGAACGGTGAATCCTATGTCTATTACATCGTTTTCTCATGGACATTTGAATTTTAAAAAACCGTTATTTAACAATACAAGTTTTTCAAACTTCCGAAGGAAGTTTGAAAAACTTGAAAAAAAATTATACTATTATTAATATAAAAGAGCTTTTAAGGGAGCTTTTAAGGGAGCTTTTAAGGGAGCTTTTAAGGGAGCTTTTAAGGGAGCTTTTTTAAAAACTTTTTTTTCAAATTTCCGCAGGAAATTTGAAAAACAGAATTTTGAACTTCCGAAGGAAGTTCAAAATTCTTACAATCTAAAAACAATAAACATAAAACTTTTAATAAAATTTTTCTTTAATCGGTCAAACTAGGGGGCTTCGTGGGAATCGGGGGTACCCGGGTGGGGACCCGGACACAAAAGCTCACAATAAAAGCTCCTCTAAAAGCTCGCTTAAAAGCTCTCGATAAAAGCTCGCTTAAAAGCTCTCGATAAAAGCTCACTTAAAAGCTCTCGATAAAAGCTCACTTAAAAGCTCTTAATAAAAAGCTCTTCAAATTTGTCCATTTTTTTTTCTTTAGACCTGAAAACAGATGTGAACCTAAAAGTGATGTATTGACAAAAGTTGCTACAGGCTGAGATGCATCCAACGTGATACTGAACCCCCTGTACCCCCCTATGAAAAATTCTAGAAAAATCGAGTTTTTTGAAAAACTTCAATTCTGTTTTTCACTCAACCTAGAACAAGTGTTTTAGACCTGAAAACAGATGTGAACCTAAAAGTGATGTATTGACAAAAGTTGCTACAGGCTGAGATGCATCCAACGTGATACTGAACCCCCTGTACCCCCCTATGAAAAATTCTAGAAAAATCGAGTTTTTTGAAAAACTTCAATTCTGTTTTTCACTCAACCTAGAACAAGTGTTTTAGACCTGAAAACAGATGTGAACCTAAAAGTGATGTATTGACAAAAGTTGCTACAGGCTGAGATGCATCCAACGTGATACTGAACCCCCTGTACCCCCCTATGAAAAATTCTAGAAAAATCGAGTTTTTTGAAAAACTTCAATTCTGTTTTTCACTCAACCTAGAACAAGTGTTTTAGACCTGAAAACAGATGTGAACCTAAAAGTGATGTATTGACAAAAGTTGCTACAGGCTGAGATGCATCCAACGTGATACTGAACCCCCTGTACCCCCCTATGGAAAATTCTAGAAAAATCGAGTTTTTTGAAAAACTTCAATTCTGTTTTTTCACTCAACCTAGAACAAGTGTTTTAGACCTGAAAACAGATGTGAACCTAAAAGTGATGTATTGACAAAAGTTGCTACAGGCTGAGATGCATCCAACGTGATACTGAACCCCCTGTACCCCCCTATGAAAAATTCTAGAAAAATCGAGTTTTTTGAAAAACTTCAATTCTGTTTTTCACTCAACCTAGAACAAGTGTTTTAGACCTGAAAACAGATGTGAACCTAAAAGTGATGTATTGACAAAAGTTGCTACAGGCTGAGATGCATCCAACGTGATACTGAACCCCCTGTACCCCCCTATGAAAAATTCTAGAAAAATCGAGTTTTTTGAAAAACTTCAATTCTGTTTTTTCACTCAACCTAGAACAAGTGTTTTAGACCTGAAAACAGATGTGAACCTAAAAGTGATGTATTGACAAAAGTTGCTACAGGCTGAGATGCATCCAACGTGATACTGAACCCCCTGTACCCCCCTATGAAAAATTCTAGAAAAATCGAGTTTTTTGAAAAACTTCAATTCTGTTTTTCACTCAACCTAGAACAAGTGTTTTAGACCTGAAAACAGATGTGAACCTAAAAGTGATGTATTGACAAAAGTTGCTACAGGCTGAGATGCATCCAACGTGATACTGAACTCCCTGTACCCCCCTATGAAAAATTCTAGAAAAATCGAGTTTTTTGAAAAACTTCAATTCTGTTTTTTCACTCAACCTAGAACAAGTGTTTTAGACCTGAAAACAGATGTGAACCTAAAAGTGATGTATTGACAAAAGTTGCTACAGGCTGAGATGCATCCAACGTGATACTGAACCCCCTGTACCCCCCTATGAAAAATTCTAGAAAAATCGAGTTTTTTGAAAAACTTCAATTCTGTTTTTCACTCAACCTAGAACAAGTGTTTTAGACCTGAAAACAGATGTGAACCTAAAAGTGATGTATTGACAAAAGTTGCTACAGGCTGAGATGCATCCAACGTGATACTGAACCCCC